GTAAACTGGTGAATATAATAGACTCAGGGGCATAGAAAGAGAGTGGACTGACAATTCTCAGGGGGGAAAGGGGTGTGGGGCGTGTGGGAAGAGACTGGACAAAAATCGTACACCTATGGATGAGGACAGTGGGGGGGTAAGGGCAGAGGGTAGGGTGGGAACTGGGTGGAGGGGAGCTATGGGAGGGGAAAAGAGGAACAACTGTAATAATCTAAACAATAAAGATTTATTTTTTAAAAAAACAAAATTTGCAAATATATAAATTAAAGATGTACTACTTATCAGTTTTCGTTACCAGAGATCCAATGAATCAGAAGATCACTCATTTAAAAGGTATATTTATTGCCGAAACCGGTTTGGCTCAGTGGATAGAGCATCGGCCTGCGGACTGAAAGGTCCCAGGTTTGATTCCGGTCAAGGGCATGTACCTGGGTTGCGGGCACATCCCCACAGTGGGAGATGTGCAGGAGGCAGCTGGGCAATGTTTCTCTCTCATCGATGTTTCTAACTCTCTGTCCCTCTCCCTTCCTCTCTGTAAAAAATCAATAAAATATATTTTTTTAAAAAAAGGTATATTTATTAAACATGTACTATGTGTGCGACAGGAATACAATGATGATCAAAAATGAAGAGACGGGCCCTAACCGGTTTGGCTCAGTGGATAGAGCATCGGCCTGTGGACTGAAGGGTCCTGGGTTCGATTCCAGTCAAGGGCATGTACCTTGGTTGCGGGCACATCCCCAGTAGGGGGTGTGCAGGAGGCAGCTGATCGATGTTTCTCTCTCATTGATGTTTCTAACTCTCTGTCCCTCTCCCTTCCTCTCTGTAAAAAATCAATAAAATATATTTTTTTAAATGTTTTTAAAAAAAAAAATGAAGCGACTGGTCTTGCACTCATGAAGCTTACACTGTAGAGACAGGGACACACACTCATACAAAGAGATGTAAATTGCGCTATGAAGGCTATGGGCATGGAATTTAAAAACTCACAGAGTAAGGATAGTAGGTCTAGTTCACATAATCAAAACTGACTTCCTTGAGAAAGTAGTGATTAAGTTGTTCTTTGAAGAATGAGTTGAGGTTAACTAGGAAAATAGGAAAGGGAAGAAAGCATTCCAGACAGGAAACAGCATGTACAAAAGATCTATGGCACAGCAAATATAAGAAACTGCAAAGACACCAGTGTGATTAGAAAAGAAAAGCAAGGGCATATATGCAAATATAGCAGGAGGTTCAAGATAAGAGTCAAACAGTATGGAGTTTCCTCAAAAAACTGGAAATGGAACTCCCATTTGACCCTGTGATCCCACTTCTAGGAATGTATCCCAAGAAACAAGAAACACCAATCAGAAAGGATATGTGCACCCATATGTTCATAGCAGCACAATTCACCATAGCTAAGATCTGGAAACAGCCTAAGTGCCCATCAGTAGATGAATGGATTAGAAAACTGTGGTACATCTACACGATGGAATACTATGCTGCTGTAAAAAAGAAGGAACTCTTACAATTTGCAACGGCATGGATGGAGCTGGAGAGCATTATGCTAAGTGAAATAAGCCAGTCAATGAAGGAAAAATACCACATGATCTCACTCATTCATGGATAATAAAGACCATTACAAACTTTTGAACAATAATAGATACAGAGGCAGAGCTGCCTCAAACTGATTGTCAAACTGCAGCGGGAAGGCCAGAGAGGGTTGGGGGGCAGAAGGGAGGGGAGTAAGAGATCAACCGAAGGACTTGTATGCACACACGGTAAGAGATCAACCGAAGGACTTGTATGCATGCATATAAGCATAACTAATGGACATAAGACACTGGGGGGTAAGGGAGGCCAGGGGATTGTCAAGGGCGGGGGGGAGTGGGGAAGGACACATATGTAATACCCTTTGTAATACTTTTAGCAATAAAAAAATAAATAAATAAAAGATAGGAGTCAAACAAAACTGTACCTTGGACATCACATTAAAGAATTCTGTCCTTATCCGAATAGCAATGGAAAGCCAATAAAGGGATTTTTTTTAAAGCCTCACCCAAGGATATGTTGTTATTTTTTTAAAATATATTTTATTGATTTTTTGTTTGTTTGTTTGTTTGTTTTACAGAGAGGAAGGGAGAGGGATAGAGAGTTAGGAACATCGATGAGAGAGAAACATCCATCAGCTGCCTCCTGCACACCCCCTACTGGAGATGTGCCAGCAACCAAGGTACATGCCCTTGACAGGAATCGAACCTGGGACCCTTCAGTCCACAGGCCAACACTCTATTCACTGAGCCAAACCGGTTAGGGCAAGATTTACTTTTAACGTAGTCTCTGAGCATCCGGATTTATCTGTTTTCATCCATGCAATACAGAACTACCAAATTAACAATTTCCAAAAATAATGCTTTCAATTGTACCACTTATCAATTCCAAACTCTTCAATAACTCGTCACCAACATATGCACAGCTGAGTTATCATAGTCTTAGAAGTTTCCAGAATGCAGTGAGGTAAAGAGTAGGTCAAAAGCTTTAGGAACTGGTGTGTCCACCAGTGGTTGGTGCTGCCAGGCTATAAGGCTAGTCTTGCGCTATCTATCTAGCCCAAGGAGAAGAGAATATGTTATCCCAAAATAGAAAGGCTGAGATTAAAATGAGGGAAGACGAAGGCATCACATCTTACAAAATGAATATATAGCATCTGGCACCCGGTAAGTATTACAATAAATGAAATCAACTTTTTCTGAGACTCAATTTCCTCAATTATAAAGAATGGATGATGATGATATACCCATCTCAAAGAAGTATTTGTCTTGATGAAATATGGTAACTGTGCATATACTTTATAATCTCTAAAATACCACAATAAATGATTAGAAAGACATCTCTTGTGTTATAACTTCTCAAATGAACACAAATACAATGCGGTGTCAAAAAAGTAGTGCCAATTTTCTATTTACATTTTTCTATTCAATAAAGTTAGAAGATCTGTTACTTATTTTTCCCATGTAACTTTAAAAAAAGCCATTTCTATGTTGCATTTTGTTTATAAGGGATCTTCAGCAGTTGGCAATCCTGTAGAGTTGAAAAAAAAGATAATCTATACCTTGAATAGGAAAAGCCAACTGAGGAATGAATGAGTAAACAAAGCAGGAGATAGGGATTAGAACATACCTAAAACCCTCAGACCCCTCTCAAAGCCTCTCAACCCTCTCAAGGTTTTGCATCTCAAACTTGCCAAAGGTAACAATTACCTACAAAATAAGAAAAACACAGGGGGAGAGCCTACAAGTTAGGAGCAAATTATTTCATAGACTAATGATGTTTGCTTTGGTTAGTAGCCCTCAAACGAAAGGCATTCAGGAAGTTGTCATACCGAAGAAATATTAAATTTGGCAAAAAAAAAGAAGTGTGTGATTGATTAACTTCTAAGTATGAAATCTTCTCCTTAGTCCACAAACCCCACCCAAGAAATTTTAAAAATATACATTAATATAATAAAACCATTAAGTATTAATATATTTTCAGAAAAATAATTATATTTTCCCAAACAAAAACTTAAGAGTGGCACTGCTTTACATTTTTACAAATCTCATTAACATCTGTCTTAATAAAAAGAGCTAGATTCTCTTATCTGCTTCTGCATTCAATCTGTTGCACTATGTCACTCTGTTGAAGAAAATGCAGCCTCACAAGATAAATAGGTGGTAAAGGGAAAAACTTGCAGAACCTTTGAAAGTGTCTCAAGTCCCCAGACCACACTTAGAGAACTACTACACTAGATAAACTAAGTCAAAGCCTTTATTTAAAAGGCAGGCTAAATTACTATATTGGCTATATTAGCTAGTCAAAATTTTGAATATACCAATCCAAAGAATAAAGTAATAATTTTAAACTGTTATATTCAGTTGATGTGCACAACACTAAGAAAAAGCACTTATTAAGCAAGCATTAATTATGTATGAGGCATTGTGTTTAAAAACACAAAGAAGCAAAATCAACATCATTCCAAAAATCACATATTGTTTATCATGGTGTACTAAACCAGAAAAACAGAATGTTCACAATGAAAATAATTGAAATAAAAAATATTTTTGGTTTAATCCAGTTCACCAAAAGGCCTAAATATTATATCCTGATCCTACAGTGTTCCCTTCAATCATTCTTTACTATGGAAAATCTCTAAAGATAAAGTTTGGAAAGAAGGGAAGAAAAATATTTAAAAAAAATTTTGGAACTTCAAAAAATAACTTTCTAAGTACTACCTGCATTCATTCAAGATGTAGTACAAAAGGCTGACAAACCTATCGTGATAGTAGGAGGAGAGGCAGACAGGTTTAAAGTGTGTGTTGGAAAGGGTGGACCTCTAGATCTCATTGTCCAAATTAATCATTCACCTTCAGTATACTATCAGAGTCCATAGGAACAACTTTAGGGTATTTTTCTCTTTTCTTTTAGTTTTTGATTTTCTTTCTTGAGCAGTTATAGTTGTAAAGATTGACATTTTTTTACCTTTAATGTTACCCTGAGATCTTCAAAGAGCAAAGGGAAATTTATTACTTTTAAATAGAATAAAACTCATTTTATCTTATGATTACTATGAGTCTACAGAATCCTTTTATAAATCTAAGATACATTATGGGATCTTAGTGATTTCAGTTTTCCTACACCTTGAAATATTTCGTTAATTCCATCATCTTAGATTTCACCATTGCACATCAATTATTAACAACTATGCTTTTAAAAAATAAAACTAAAGTAATAAGAAAATAGGATAATCCAAGGATGAAATAAATCATCATTAATACATTATACTTCATTTTATTATCTTTTTTTTCAGCTTATTGTTTTGCTTATTGTATCACCTTTCAAAAAAATGAAAGGCATAGAAGACTGAAGACATCATCTTTGTGGTCTGTGTTGGGAGGAAAAACTTTACTTCTACCCTTTTAGGTTGCAGTAGCTGGGGACCTTCAACTTGAACTAACAAAAGACAGAAAAAGCACACAATTTTTATTAATGTTTACATACCTCAGAGTTCACTCAAGAGGGGTAAAACTCAAAGAAGCAGTTAGGCTCAGGGGCTTATATACCATTTTAAAGGAAAGAGGATTTGAGCTTTGAGAGACAAATCATAGGGAAGTTCTAACTAGGAAATATATAAAAAATAATGAACTATAATGAAAGATAAGGGTTATTTTAGTTAGGTCTGTTTATGCAAACTCATCTCAGTATCAACTCTGCATCTCAGATGGTTAAGAGTTTCTCTTTCCTTCCTGGTATGGGGAAAAGGGTATGACACAAAAGGAAATTTATGCTCTACTTTAGGCAGACAATGGGAGGGCAAAAAACTCTCTATCTGTTGATTCTCAATTGCCTTCTGTTCAAACTAATCTTTATGTCAAAGTGGCACATAATTGGATGGCATATCCTGATCCTCTTCATATGCTTTTAGTTTTCAATGAATGCAGTTAAAAACTCAGAACTTTTTATTTCCTACCCATAATAGGACAAAAGAAAATTAACAAAGGAGACATTTCACAATTATCAGATGAACCTGAAGACCAAGGCAAAAATGGATAGCAAGCACTTCAGACTCTAATGACAAGAGAAATTTGGGAAATGTCACTGTCTTCAGATAAGATATCCAAAACAAATTTTCTCCAACTCAACAATCAATGAGTGAACAATATGCTTCTAAAAACTAAAAGTAACTTCTCATCAACTGTCACATGTGAACCTGGAACATATTTATCTTGTAAATACTGATTTGAGATATCAAATACTTCCCTAATAAGTTCTAGCTTATCATTTCTTTTGGGTCATTTTGCATGTACATCATCAATGCAATATTTGAATGTTTTGAAACCTTTGATGGTTCATAATTTTATTGAAGAGAGGGTAGGCATCTCTTTGCTTCATAACTGTAAGATATTTTCAGTTTTAGATTTGTAGACACCAATTAGAATAATCAATCCAATGAATAAAAAAATTTGTGTCATGTTTCCTTCTAGTCACCATTGTATACATCTGTGTTCAACACTTGTTCACTTCTGGACTGTATCAAGTTGAATTTTAGAACACACACATGAAGGATGAATAGTCATATGCCCTTTTAGCAAAAGAGCACGGTCTGCAATCTTATAAAAATATTGCATAATGTATAATGTGAAATACACTGTATGACTTAAGTAATCCCGCCAAAATATTAAGCCTGATCTATTCAAAAAACACAGGCAATTGAGGGTACAATGTAAACCCAAAGAGAAGGAAACTGTCAATAAAATACAGAATGTGGGTTATGCGACTAGATCACTGGCCTAGTCTCTTCAAAAGGTCGATGCCATCATACACACATACACACAAACACACACACACACACACACACACACACACAAGAAGGTGGAGCCATCATAAATGGGATGTGTGCCCTTAAAGAAGAGACCCCAGGGGAACCATGGAAGACACACACACACACACATACACACACACACACACACACACACACACACACAAAGACGGAACAACACTAAATTAAATGAAATTAACAAATAAATGTAATGCATGATTGGATATTGATAAACGATTAAAAAGGCTATTTGGGGAACTACAGGGAAGATGTGAATACTACAAACATATTGTAGATTGTAGGAATTAACTTTAAGTGATTGTGGTATTGTGGTTATATAGAAAATTGTCCTAACCTTATGATATACATACTGACACACATACCGTACACTTCAGTGTGAATTGTCATATCTGCAATGGACTTGAGAATGTTCACCAAAGAGAATGTGAAATGGGCCCAGTGGGTGCAGTGGTGGTTGAGCTTCCACCAAGGAGCCATTAGATTCCTGGTCAGGGCACATGCCCAGATTGTGGGCTCGATCCCCAGTAGGGGGCGTGCAGGAGACAGCTGATCAGTGATGTTCCTCTCTTATCCATGTTTCTATCTATCCCTCTCCCTTCCTCTTGCTCTCTCTCTCTCTCTCTTTCTCTAAGAATCTCTAAATATATGTTCATTTTTTAAAAAGACTGAATGGGTAGATAAAGCAAATGTGGCAACATGGTAATAACTATTAAAACTTTGGGGTAGGTATGTGTTCAAATGTGCTATCTTCAACTTTTCAAAGTTTGGGGAAAAATACGGTAACACAAAAAATAAAAAAAATGGTTGCAAGGTTCAGAAATGAATTCTTAAACTGTAAAACAAGAGGCAAGTGAGTAGTATCTAAATTTTGTAGGTGAGCCTCCTTGCCTCTTCTCCTCACTACTCACACTCTCTTAAAAAATGAAACATAATATAGTGAATTGAACACTGAATGAGGACTCAGAAGACCTAAGGTTCTGGAATTGGCTCTACCACTTCCCAGCCATGAGCTCATTAAAGAACTCTCCCCCCTGGCAGGTGTGGCTCAGTGCATAGCATCCGCCTGCGGACTGAACCCGGGTTTGACTCCCGTCAAGGGAACATACAGGAGACAGCCAATCAATGATTCTCTCTCATCATTGATGTTTCTATCTCTCTCTCTTCCTCTTCCTTCCTCTCTGAAATCAATAAAAATATATTAAATTTAAAAACAAAACTCTCCCGGAGGCTCTTTCCTCACCTTGGTTTCGGGATAGGTCTCAATGACAATTACAAATGTTAGATACTTTGTAAGGGTATTTGCACCGATGTTTTAAAACATCCAAAGCGCTTAATTTTCTAAGCGAACCTGGGCCTTCGCAGGCGCAAGAGTTGGCACAGGAACCCCCCAATGCAGGACACCTGACCACTGCCCAGGGGCGGCTTTTGTACTTTAAAACTCTCCTTTCAATTTTCTGTGTCGTGGCACTAAAAGACGTCTAATTCTTAAGACACAAACCAAACCTGAAAGCCATATGTAAATTAAAAATAGATTATAAATTAGAATAATTTAAAAAAAAACCCTAAATCTTCGTAACACAAAGAGAACCCCGCGAAGGAAGCTGCCTGTAGACGCGGGTTCCCTTGGACGCGTCTCCTCTCTAGCAGATTCCTCGTATTAAACGCGTTTTAACTCGGGACCACTCGGGAGGCGCCCCTCGCGTCGCTAGAGCCGGAGAAACCCTCCGAGTGGGATCCTTCCTTCCGTCTCCCGAGGTGTAGCCTGAAGCTATTTCGGAAACTGCGTCTCCAAGTCCGCGCTGTCCCTCTGGGCCTTTTCTGGAGACAATGAGACGGGGCGGCCGCGGCGGGGCAGGGAAGTCCCTGGGGCCAGGGCA